TATTTGATGCACTACTCAGAGAAAATTAGGGGAAGACTTGATCATCACCACATGTCAGTTAAAAAAATGACCTTGAGCGAGTTGTTAATGTCCATTTCTGAGCATACGGCCAAAATCGGACTTCATCAGGATTGCATGTGGTCCTGATATTCTTTAGCGGCATCTATGGTCACAGCCCAGCACCGTGCGGCTTGATTGGCGTTCCCGAGAGATCAGCAGAATAGCTACTGGTGCCCTTTTCCCTTTACAGAAGAGAGCAGGTTGTCAGTGAGCACACGTGACAGGCATGAAAGAGCCTTGAAGGCTGTGGCTCACTTTATGCCGTGCTGTTGATTCCCTCATTTCTAAATCTGCTCCACTGAGTTAAACAGGCTTCTCTGCCTTTATTTATTTTTTTGATGAAGTTTTCTGCACACGACATTGTGAGAGCATGGATTTCCTCCCAGTATGAACTCTCATCATTTTTTGTTATCTAGTTGACGGCTGTGGCATTATTTTTTTGTGAGTCTTTAAGACTTGAACTGATTTGACAGATCACTTTGACCTTTTCCTCTCGAGTGCACTGAGACACGCTTTGACCTGATGTGTCACTGTCTCAGGGCCCCCACACTGACGGACCCTTGGACGTTCCTGCAGGAGACAGTCTGATGCTGAAAGCCAAATTGCCGGTGCCCTCCGTCCTCCTCATCCACGTCTGTGCCCGGCCGAAAGCTGCGCCAGACCAGGTTAGTATCAACACAACACAATGGTGTATAGATAAAATCTCATATTACACTCGTGTCATAAATGATTCTGAAAGACAATATTAGAAAATAAGAAAGTTGAAGCTGCTTTAAAATATTTTAATTAATTATATTTTTAATTTTAAGCTAGAAAGAAGTCTGTAGAGCCGAGGCGAGTTTTTATGAGTAGGTCTATTTGCTAAATTTGTAATAAATGTATGTTTTTAAATGATCTGTTGTCTATAAAATGAATCACAGATTTATATTTTTACACATATTTGACCTTCTTCAGGTCAACGGGTTACGCTTCATTAGGATCACTAAAGGTCAAGTCCTTGTTATCTGGTCTGACCACTGTGTCAATTCAAAGTAAGTGTTTCTCATCCAAAACATTTCATTTCACTCTTTAAAATGTATTATATGCATCTTTATCCTTTAAAGGTTGGACAACATCAGTAAGGCTAATACCACTTTTATTATGTTATGCTTTGCAGATGCATCAAAACATATGAAGTGGAATTATCCGCAGGCGGCAAGGCTTTCGGCAAAATCAGCACCCAGAACACTATTTTTACTTCTTATGTTTATTCACCAGGTAAGAATTCACACTAAATTCTTCTAAACCTGAGACCTTTAGAGTCTGACTGTACAGAGAAATAATATCATGCTCTCTGTTGTGTTCTGTAGTGGACCAGGAGGTCAGTGGTCTGTACAGAGTTCGAGCTGT